CTTTCTGACATTCAAAGGTTCTTTTCTGAAGGAGAAACATCTTTCTAACAAGTGTCCAGTCTTCTTACAATGGTAACACGTAATAATTTTCAATCCGCTTTCAGCTGCAAAGGATGCGCCTTGAGGGTTTCTCTTTGATTTCGGATATTTGTCATCTTGAGGCTTTGCACCAATCAGCTTACCAAATGCGCTACTCGCCAATTTCGCTTTTAAAGTCACGAAACTTGTCAAATTCTTGAAAGTAGGGATTTTCCCTTTTTCCAACAAAGCAAAGGCTTCTTTCGCCCACTCCGCCTGTATGTACCTGGGCAGCCGTGCAACGATTCTCTCAAGATTGCTTTGAGCATTAATTTCAGACTCGCAGCCGAGTTGAGTTGAGTTAAGTTGATCTGACAATTCTCCATATCTCGCGCTAGCTGTAATAACTTCTCACTATCACCGTCTCTAATTAAACCTCCCTTCGTCACTTTGTCGATATACGCATGCGTGATTATGTGACTTTGACCAAACGAATTATGGAGTATTTCTTTAGCCCTCGAGAAGCCTTCTTCATCAGGCAACATCACACAGTTACTAATGGCATCTTTCGCAATACCAGAACAAAGCTGAATAAGATAAGCTAACCTGGATCTTGGTTCTTGTTCCCTTTCTTCAATGTTAGTCTTGAAATTTTCTATAAATTTTGGGTAGTTCATCGGATTCCCGTCGAAACCAAGACAGACCCGTTTTGGCATTTCAAACCCTCTTCTGATCGATGAACCAAGAGTATTAGCCATCAGGATTAATGATTCTTGTTGACTCTGGAGAACTCGGTACAACGGGTCAGATTCACCAGCACCATAACTCCCTTCCTCTCGCTTGATTCTTCGAGGTGATACTTCAGATACAGATTCGTTAGACCATGTGACGTTTTGTTTAGCTGGAGCGTTCTGCGGTGGATGAGAATCAGGAACTCGAATTTCTTGCGATTGGAACTTTTCCATCTTTCGTATATATGAATCACGTCGAGGTTTCTCAATCACTTTTGAGTTTAATGGCTTGGTGAACTCCGATAAGTCTTCCCTTGCCAGCTCCCTGCGAAGCCCAATTCTCTGATTTGCTGGCTCAGCTCTCGAATCATCTCGTGCTTCTGACTTTGTGTAATTTATCGATAACTTCTCAGCTTCCTCTTCCAACTTAGCCCTTCCGATGTCATTCTCCAGCTCTATAAGTTCACGTCTACGTTGTAGCTCAGCACGCTTCGATTCCATTTCTTGCTTAATTTGCACCAATTCTAGTTGATGATCAATGGCCTGTTGCTGGCGTTCAATCTCTTGCATCTCCATACACCGTTGTTTTTCTAGTTCAGCTTTCGCTCTTCTAATACTCGCACTTTCAGATGCTACACTTGTTTGAGTGCTTCGAATCATACCCACCTTGCGTCGGGATTCAGGCATCTCATTTCTTGACTTGAAATATTGCAATTCCGTCATACCGGGCGAGACACGATTCAAACTTGATCTCCGACTGTCGATATCCGAGGCTACATGACCATCACTTCGCATGTTTGGGTATGCAAATTCGTTCAATGTTGTTAACCTTTCGTGTTCATTCACGCGAAACGTCGTTAATTCGCTTGGCTCAAAGCGTTCTTTAAAATTCGTCTCTAAATCAACATCAGCGATTGCTATCCATTCTCCAAGCTTCCGATCTAAATGTTCCTTTGCGTTGCAAACGTTAGTATATCCTTTCGCTATCTCACGGAATTCAGTGACTTCGTCCTCGTACAAACAATCTTTAATGTCTTGACAGCATTTTGAATAACTCATAAACGTTTTATCCAGCGACGCTTTTTCGGCTTGAACTTCTTCATAATTGCTTCTATCAGTCATTAACTGTTCTATCCGTTTTTGAACTCGAGTAATAGCCCCACGATACGCTGAGTTTGACGCCTTTAAACTTCGCAGTTTCTCTTCACGAGCGCCATCAATATTTCGGCTTAATCTAGTTCGGCTTGGCCGTTCTGCTTCGTTGATCGCCATGTCGCTTTCGGACGCCATATAATAACCAGATAAATTCTTGTGAGAAAACTTATGTAGCAACCAAAGTGCTACGAATTCGAATTCCCCGTTACGAGATAGACACGACAGATTATATTTTCTTCACTTTATTTAATTAATAACGTTTGTCGGTTTTCTAAATAATAAGTTATATAAAAGAATGAATCCTACCTATAAGTCGATTTTACAACAATAATACTAAATACATACGTATACATTATACAAATGTCTTACCTCACAATGAGGGAATCGCTCTAGTTGTCACATAAGTAATATATCTCAACAGTCTTCTGTTTATCGTTCTTCAACAAAGTTCTAACATATATAAACTAAACAGGCCGAAATTCGCCCCTTTATAGCATTTAGTCTTGAGCCTGCATACCGACTGACTCGGTAATTATAAATTGTAATTTGGGCTTTACACAATGCATGTTGAGTATTACAATGCATGTTGAGTATTACAATGCATGTTGAGTATTACAATGCATGTTGAGTATTACAATGCATGTTGAGTATTACAATGCATGTTGAGTATTACAATGCATGTTGAGTATTACAATGCATGTTGAGTATTACAATGCATGTTGAGTATCACAATGCATGTTGAGTATTACAATGCATGTTGAGTATTACAATGCATCTTGAGTATTACAATGCATGTTGAGTATTACAATGCATGTTGAGTATTACAATGCATGTTGAGTATTACAATGCATGTTGAGTATTACAATGCATGTTGAGTATGACAATGCATGTTGAGTATTACAATGCATGTTGAGTATTACAATGCATGTTGAGTATTACAATGCATGTTGAGTATTACAATGCATGTTGAGTATTACAATGCATGTTGAGTATTACAATGCATGTTGAGTATTACAATGCATGTTGAGTATTACAATGCATGTTGAGTATTACAATGCATGTTGAGTATTACAGTGCATGTTGAGTATTACAATGCATGTTGAGTATTACAATGCATGTTGAGTATCACAATGCATGTTGAGTATCACAATGCATGTTGAGTATTACAATGCATGTTGAGTATTACAATGCATGTTGAGTATTACAATGTATGTTGAGTATTACAATGCATGTTGAGTATTACAATGTATGTTGAGTATCACAATGCATGTTGAGTATTACAATGCATGTTGAGTATTACAATGCATGTTGAGTATTACAATGCATGTTGAGTATTACAATGCATGTTGAGTATTACAATGCATGTTGAGTATTACAATGCATGTTGAGTATTACAATGCATGTTGAGTATTACAATGCATGTTGAGTATTACAATGCATGTTGAGTATTACAATGCATGTTGAGTATTACAATGCATGTTGAGTATTACAATGCATGCATGTTGAGTATTACAATGCATGTTGAGTATTACAATGCATGTTGAGTATTACAATGCATGTTGAGTATTACAATGCATGTTGAGTATTACAGTGCATGTTGAGTATTACAATGCATGTTGAGTATTACAATGCATGTTGAGTATCACAATGCATGTTGAGTATTACAATGCATGTTGAGTATTACAAGGCATGTTGAGTATTACAATGCATGTTGAGTATTACAATGCATGTTGAGTATTACAATGCATGTTGAGTATTACAATGCATGTTGAGTATTACAATGCATGTTGAGTATTACAATGCATGTTGAGTATCACAATGCATGTTGAGTATTACAATGCATGTTGAGTATTACAATGCATGTTGAGTATTACAATGCATGTTGAGTATTACAGTGCATATTGAGTATTACAATGCATGTTGAGTATTACAGATGCACGAGCTGGAAACTTACTTGTTCGAGATAAGAAAATCAACAACCCACTTCTTGAGAATGTACAGATGACCATCAACCAGGTTACTTTTGATATTTACGAATGGAAATCTGCAATGAAGTAATTCACAATTTCAGGAAAGAATTTTCCAAATTACCTCGATTAACAGGGGGACTGGTCTCAAGGTGATTTTTCCACTTTTTAGCAGAAAGAATGTGTTTTCGTCGAAGAAAGACTATCAGTATTCAGGACTGTATTTCTTAAGATATATATTCTGTGTTGGATCACCTGGAGACATTGTGTATACGAACACGCTTTATACAGTATGCATATTTGATGCAAAAGAGATAAGAGAGAGGGTAAGATCGACGTTTACCGCAAACTTCAAATTGCATTTTACATGTTTTCGACAGCCAACACAGGAAAATTTTTTGAATTTCCAATGATGGGTTTTTGAATGGTTTTTAAAGATTTCCCATGTATACTATCGATGTAAAAACTGAACTCTTCCCATTATTGGTTATTATAGCTAGATTTCCCATATGGTAAATTGGTAAAAACCATGATGTTTAATATTTACTATTCATGGTAAATATTAAGTGGTTTTAATGGTAAATATTAAACATCGTGGTTTTTACTAATTTACCATATGGGAAATCTATAATATTTATTATTCCATTAAAGGAAATTTAATTTTTTTTCCCTGTGTAAGTAGCTAATTCGATCGTGTATGCTTCAATTTTAATACACAAACTTACTGAAACTTCAAACGAGACTTCGAACAGCAAACACTCGAGCTCTAAATTTGCGTTAGCGGTCTACCGTAAACGTCAGTCTTAACCTCTCTAATGTTTCCCGATACGAGAAGATAGAAAAATCTATAGAATATAGGCGTAAACGTTTTGTCAGTGCAAGATTTATGAGTATCTTTGGCGGCGAATTTCTTGCACTAAAGTAATAATCTTGCTAAATTCATGTATTTGTTACCTTTTTAATAGAGATTTGTGTAAAATTAATATTTCATCCAGGTCATCTTCAGCATCAAGAAACAATAATCTGTTCTGTTGTCCATCCAAACCAATAATATCCCGCTGGTCTAGAAATGGTTGATTAACATTTACAAAATAATTCTATACTTGGTCAAACGTCAGCCCTTTTTAGTGTGTTGCATTGTTTTACCGATTTTACATAAACGTTCTAATTACTTAATCAATCAAGCACGAATATCATCCAAGTAAAAAACATTCGCAATCCACAATGCTGACAAAGTGTCAAAAAACTTGCCCAGGAATAAAGCCTTGTAAACAATGTTTCAGAGTACAGAAAAGACGGCACTGAGTATAATCTAGCTTTGAGTGAGCTCCATTGTCCTCTGATGTCTTAACCTGTGGCCACAGTTGAAGATTTTTCAGAGTGTGGCTGAAGACTGGATCTGCAAGATGGGACTGCAGCCTGAACCTGTACCAGAAATCAGGCTGAAGCTAAAAGTTATGTGGCTGAGGCAACGCTCGCGACTGAATTTAGGATGAGAGCATTGTCGAAGAATTAAACTGGCAAAAAGTATCTTTCTTTGATTTCTGCTGTTTCTTTAAATGTTTCGAGAATCATGGGAAATTATAGACAAATTTGACCAATGTTATTTATGTCGTTATTACCCAACTATAGCATTTCTCACGATGACGAATATCCGCCATTTTTGGGTGGCATCTAATTCTCGTTAATCAATGCAGACAATTAAAACAAATGAATGTGAAAAGTAATTTTTCAAAATAAACTAACCATTTACGAAGCAAATTTACCATCACTCGTCAAAAAATTATAAAAAGTCGCTGTGATGTGGACTTATCTCGCAGACTTCGGCTGAAAAGCCACCCAAAAATGGCGGCGTGAGAAAGGCTATATCACCTTTCCAAGCCCGAGATATTCAAAACCGTAATTCAGTAGGTATATGTGTAAATATGACATGTCTTAGCATGAATCGTATGTGATTGGACTGATGAGAATAAGGAATGTTGGAGTCGATTGTGCTCCTTCTTGTTCGAACTATTTTGCTTTATTTCTTGCCAGCTTAACTCGGATAGTTTCAGGTTACTGAATATGTACTACCAGAACCTGTACTAAGTACACCTTGAATCTTAAGTTTGTAGCAGCTCAAGTACGCGGCAATAATCATTGACGTACCAGTCAGGTACGAGTAAAAATCTTGAATTATTGCAATCTGCGTGTTTGCCAGTGTTGGCATGACAGACGCACACCAAGGTTATATTGCCATGTTTCCTTCAGGATTTGGTTCCTGGTTGATCTTGAGCCCAATAACAAGTAAGTTCTTAACCCTATTGTGCACGAAACATAAGTAAATACCTGACATGAAAACGAGGCCATCGGGTCAAACGTCAATTCTAACTCACATGCCTAGTTACCATTCTACGTACATTACAGAAGCATGGAATAGAACAAAAGTAAGTAAGCATTAGAGTTATGATTGATTGATTGATTGATTGTTATGTATAAGAGTTATTCACTCATGTAGATAATTCTTAGGCTTAATTACCTTTGTTCTATGCTTCTGCATACTGGAACAATGATATAACTAGGCATATGTAAGTTATCTAAAGTTATGAACTGGGTCTAAACAAACGTTAGCCAAGTTTGTCTATTGGAAATTCTCAACTCACTTAAGACATCTTTCTTTTTCTTCGTTTTTGTATTTTCCTCTTTCTCTTTTTCTCTGTTTTCATTGGAAGCCAGAAGTACAGTGAGAGTTGCATCATACGTTCTGTGAATGTCGGCGAGTTGATGTAAATTCACTTCTGCTATAAGATCACAACTCACAACAAGAACATCTTTCTAAATAAGAAAAAGACTTTTCAATTGATAGATGGAACATGCAAAGACGGTTGAGGGCGGTCCATGAATTTACCACATGTTATATAAATTAAGGGTTCCGTTTATAACATTATATAGTGTGTATAAAAAAAGGTAATCAAACTTCAGCACGCTATAATTGCATCTGAATTACTCTGCGTATGACCGAGATGTTTTCATATTCGGAAAGATCAGACTTTTAGCTGTTGAATGATATGTTCTTCATGCCAAATGGATAAAAAATGAGCACATACTGTACGAAATACGAATCCGATTAAAAATGTTAGTCAGAATCGCATATTTTCACCGTTGAGAGTTGGGTCTAAAACCATTGAAAATTAACCCCATTTAGGACTTAAGTTGATGAATTTCACTTCAATAAACTACGCACATATTCATAATTATTATCAATAATTGGGGTGCAGGTGTTTCATGGGTGATGTATGAAGCCTTACTGCCCACTCTCCTTTGCAGTCTGCAAACAAAATCCCAGCATTATCATTATTACCTATAATTATCAAGGACTTGGACCTACATGTGAGGAGCTTCTCTCACAGTCACACATGATCATGTTGTAACCAACAACATCAAGATTCAAGAATTTTTGGGATGGTGTTGGACTTCTCTACAGGGGTGCTAGACACAACTAGGCGGGCTGTGCTCCACCCCACCCCTCCCATCCTCACATTAGATCCACACCCAAACTAATAAAATAACTTTCACCTTTATCTTATCTCTGATATGCCTGAGCGAGTCTGCCGTTCCCATGGCACTGTTGTCAGGAATAGAGATGATGTCAATTTTCATATCTGTTTCAAAACATTTGTTAATAGCATTGCTGATCAATAATTCTTCTGATTCCAAAACTACAACAATCACTTCTGCAAGAAAAGTTGTCACATTATTGTACTGTTTACAACTTTACAGGTTGTACACCATATATAACCTTACAAGCAGCAATTCACTGAAATAATAAAAATTGACAGAAACTGGAATTATTTATTACTACAGCGGGCTGCCTAGAAGGAAAATAGTGACTGGAGACAACACATCAAGAAATGAAATATGTGTTTGTCTACACAACACAAAATTCCAATTGGTTGATATAATAGTTGATTCAGACAGATCTTTTTTAACTCATTGAGTCGCAATGCGCCCCAGTACGCCCTACTTTTTTTACTTATCTAATGCCAGACAATTTTACTCGTCAATGGGGAAGCTGTGCAGCTATGGGTTAAACCATTCAATGGCAGCACTCGCTCCCCCTGACGAGTAAAATCATTTGGCGTTAGACAGAGTAAATAATAAAGTAGGGGACATCTGGGCACATTGCCACTTAAAGGGTTAACTTAAATAAATGTATTGTTTTTCGAAATATTTGAAAGCCAACAGTCAGTTAATTTAATCTTGTAGCATTTTTAATCATCTTGTCTGAAAGTGTTTATAGTATGTCATTGTTTCACTGGACGTAAACTTGAATTTTTACTTTTAAAACAATATGATATGCGCTATAAATAGTTAGTTGTTTGCAACACCAAAATAATTATAATGGAGCTAAGGGGCATTGCAAAAATATGGTGTATTTTGTTTCTTCATGTGTCCCATACAGATTATAAATAATACAAGAGGTGGCATCGCAATCTTGACATCAGGCAAAAAAAGGAATGCAGCTATTGGGGGGCAAATTCAAGTCCCGGGTGTGTATTCATGTTCCCATTGGTGAGGAGTTTCAAATCAGCCAATGAGAGCACAATTTTATATCCGGGACTTGAATTTGCCCCCCCATTAGCCGCGTTCCCAAGTTTTAACCTCGATGCCTACTCCTCTATGCAGGCTATGGAATGATGTGTCTGCATGCAGTCCCTCCTTTCCTTCTAAGGAGAGTCTGCTCACAGACTACCCTTGTTGTCACCCAAAAATTCAGTCTAGCACATGACAAATTTAAATAAATTGATCAATACGATTCATTAAATATTAATTAAAAACCATTAAATTAATCAATTATTGAGATCAACCAATGGAAGCATGCTTTACCAAAGAGTTGAAGGCAGTTTATACCCAAGAATTCCAAGACTTTCGACGGCAAGCTCAGTAAATAACCCTGGTTGAGAGCTGTGATGTTTTGTAGTATATACTATAGTATAGTACAGACAGGCCTGGCTGATAGCCGTATTGCTTTGTAGTATTGTGCATATTACTAAAAATAACCTCGGCTGGTAGCGTGATGTATTGTAGCATACTATAGTATACTACAGACAGGCCCAGCTAATGAGTGAAATACGCACATTTTTTTAATTGAATAGTTTACTATAGTACAGCCCGCGCTGGCAGCCGAGCAATCGGAGACAAATATATAAATATATATTACGAAGTGAATGCAATGTTTTGAAAAAACTAAACGTCCGGCAGTATAGTGACTATAGTTAAATATAAAAACTTTTTTGGGCTAGCTTTTACCGAGCTTGCCGTTATAGCGTATTCGGCAAAGGCGCTGCATGCAGAAAGTGAAACACAGTCAGGGTCAGGATGTGTTTTGTCTGACTGAGCATTGTTTTTCTAAAAATTTCTGGCTTTGATAACTCTCAAAAGGTTAGGGGTTAGGGTTAGAGTTCAGAGTTTGGGGGTAGGGATCGGTTAATCTTATAAAAATTCAACTTTACCTATATATAGTCACTATATACTGCAGGGCATTTCGTTTTCTCAAACAAAGTGTCTATACAGCCGGCTATTTAGTAAATTGCCGGCCATATAGTTACTATAGTTAAAGTTGAATTTTTTATAAGATAAAGCAATCCCTACCCCCAAACCCTTCTCTAACCCTAACCCCTAACCTAACCTTTTGAGAGTTAGAAAAAGCAGGGGAAAAAGTTGAAAAATTTTAGAAAAAAATATGCTAAGTCAGACAAACACATCTCAACCCTGACTGGGTTTCGCTTTCTGCACGCAGCGCCTTTACCATACACGCTATATAGTCACAGTGGTGTAGTCCTGGAATGTTAACAAGGGGGGCTGTCCAAAAGTGTCCTGAATTGGCAGGAGGGGGGGGGGGGGGACCA